GGTGCTGTAGACTACTTTAGAACACTACTTTTCTCAAAGCTCTGCCTATCGTGTGTGTTGAGATATCCAGGGTGAGAACCGATGCACTAAATTACTGACATTAGCACAGTGATTCAAGGTCTTGTGGAGGTTTTTGACTTTGGAAAACACGTAATCCTGTGATCTGTCCTGCTCTTATTGAATCAAAATATTGGATGTGTGGTGTGGAAGTAGCTATGTCTATATTTTGGAAAATTTCTCTTAGCAAGACTAATATCCCACCATTGTTTGAAAGATATCTATGAGCTTAACTATCTATAATTCTCTTTCTCGCAGGTGATAGAAATTGAAGATGCTTCGCCCACCAAGTGTCCAATAACCACCAAGTTGGTTTTAGATGAAGATGAAGAAACCAAAGAACCTTTAGTGCAGGTTCATAGAAATATGGTTATCAAATTGAAACCCCATCAAGTAGATGGTAAGAAACTCTTAGATGATTAAAGCATTTTTAGTTAAATTTTACCAAAATTTGGTGTCTCCTGTGTGCCTCATATTCTGCTAAGCACTGGAGGTACATTAGTGAGCAAAACAGACATGATCCCTGCCCTTATGGCATGCATAAGCAAATGAAGAAGAACAAAATTAAATGACTGCAAAGAAAATGAGTGTTATCAAAGGGGAAGTAAGTGCCACTTACAAATGGGTATACTTAGCAAGTGGATTTCACCTAGTCTGCAATGGTTGGCTAAGGGCCGCTGCAGGGTAGGGTGAGGTAGAGTTAGCTAGAAGTCTTCTTTAGGAAATGTTATTTCAACAATTTCAGGTATGTTTCTTAATAATATTTCTACCTTGGTATCAGAAAGATACCAAATTATCCCTGTCCTCTGCTTTGTTAGAGTGGAATCAGTAAGTCAGTTTTGAGTGTGTATGTGAATAAATTCATAAGGGAAGTTCTACAGCTCCTACTCCTTGGGTAGTGAGCCCCCTTTCTTGTTCAGTCTTGACTATTGAATAAAGGGAGAAATGATAAATTATCTCCTGTGTTTTTTTTCTGATTGATTCAGTAAATCCAAAAGTATGTTTAATAGGAATCTGTTCCCTCTTTTGGATAAAGTTTCTGTTTTTGATTATTCCTATGTCTCTGGACCATCCCAGGGAGTGGAGGAGGTCTGCTGTGATAGTTTAGATAAGATGAATGAAGCCGAGTCACCCTGTCGTGTGCTTGCATTCACTGTTTTTTTTCCTGGTAACCTTAGTGGGGGGAAAATCTCATTTACATTTGAGATTCTTTATCTCTGTTTTTTAAAATTCTATTTCTTAGAAGTTTTGGTTATGTTTTTGGTGTGTTTATGAAGGAAGATTTTTAACTTGGGCCTTTAAATTGAACTTAATGAAGCTGTCATTTTTAGGTGTTCAGTTTATGTGGGATTGCTGCTGTGAGTCTGTAAAAAAAACAAAGAAATCTCCAGGTTCGGGATGCATTCTCGCCCACTGCATGGGCCTTGGTAAGACTTTACAGGTAAGAACATGAAGGTATTCTGTTGTTGTGCGTTCATTAATTCAAGAATGTATGTTGGATTCTGTCATGTCCCAGGCACAGTTGTAGGGGCTGGAGATCAAACAGTGAACAAGAATAACAAGATCTCTCCCTCAGGAAGCTTATATTCTGGTGGGGGAGAGAGATTTTGATCAAATAAAATAAGAAATATGTACCTTCAGATAACAGGTGTTAAGGGAGAACAGAGAGGGAGAGCATCTTTTAGGAGGTGATGTTTGAGCAGAGATCTTAATGAAGTGAAAGAATGGGGTTACAGGCATAGCCAGTAAAAACCGCAAAGATTCTGAGGTGGAAATGTACTTTCTTTACACCTTCTTAACAGTCTGTGATCCTGTAGTGAGAACGTAAAATAGTTTTCACTATTAAAATACTGCATTTCTGAATGGCAGGAGTTCCAGCAGAGACGTGAAATTAGTGAATATATGTGTAATTTTAAACCATAAGATAATCATTATAGGTTCAGCAAGTCAGAAGACTCACTATAAAATGGAAAAGTACTCGAGAACGCGATTTTCTTCTAAATGGGCGGTGGTATCTTCTGAAAGACTGTAGGGACGTTCTCTGAAGACCAGGGACTTAGTTGCTGTTTTGGTGTGGTTACTTATAATATTCATATTATTATTATTATTGGTAATAGATTCATGGAGCTTTAGAGTTGGGAGCTAACTCCCTGTTTTTAGGTACTATATCTTTTTCCTTGTATTTTGCTTGGTTTGGAAATTGTGACCTTTGGTTGGTTGCTTTCTTGTTTAAAGCAAAAAACTCCTAACTATTAAATTGTAATATTGCTCGATTTATTAAGTTTTTTGCAGATATGTAAATGAAGATGGCAACTTAATTTGTTTTCTTGTAGGTGGTAAGTTTTCTTCATACAGTTCTTTTGTGTGACAAATTGGATTTCAGCACAGCTTTAGTGGTTTGTCCTCTTAATACTGCTTTGAATTGGATGAATGAATTTGAGAAGTGGCAAGAGGGATTAAAAGATGATGAGAAGCTTGAGGTATCATATTTTAAATGTTTTCTGTTATTAAAATAACTGCATGAAGTCTATACAGTAAAAGAAAAAGATTTTTAATTATCAATGATGCATATTTTAGTGGGGAATATTTAATATTCTTACATTTCTAATAGCTACCTTTAAAAATATTTTCCCACACAAGGTCTCTGAATTAGCCACTGTGAAACGTCCTCAGGAGAGAAGCTACATGCTGCAGAGGTGGCAAGAAGATGGTGGTGTTATGATCATAGGCTATGAGATGTACAGAAATCTTGCTCAAGGAAGGAATGTGAAGAGTAGGAAGCTTAAAGAAATATTTAACAAAGCTTTGGTTGATCCAGGTAAGACATTAGCAGGCACAGAGATAAAGAAGCAAGTTGAATAAAAAATATGCTTATGTTTTATTTAATAAGTACTGATTGAACAGCTACTAAGTAGCTGGTTTTTGTTTCATTTATCCTTCGGATTTTTGCCTTCTTTTTGTTTCTTAGTATAATTTCATTAAGATGAAATCAGCCTTAATGTTGCCAGCTGTTCAGAATTCACTTGCTGAGTCTGAAAGTGTTTGAGGTTTTTAGGGGAGACCTTTGTAAACAATTAAAAAAGCATCCGGTGCCTGTGTCACAATCGCAGATTCTTCCAATTGTCTGAATATTAGATGATAAGAGCTCTCTCCATACTCTGAAAAGGTTTCTTTGCCATCTTTGAGTCATTCGAAGAATTGCTGTGTTTTTTTTTTTCTGTCTTTTCAAAGGTCGTCACTATGGAATGTTAGTATTTGCAGTACTGTCGATCCTTATGACAGTAATCCTCATGATGTGAGATCCAAATATTTGATTCTTATTTGCCACTTGGAAAAGCAGCAAGTTGTACTAACTGCAAAACTAATTAGTTTTAATTATTAACTTGTATTTATAATTTTTTTCCTTTTCAAACTATCTTGTCATATCTAATTACTTTAAGACACTGTTGAGGCTTTAGATGCGTATTGAGAAAGTAATTTTCACTGCCAAAATAACAGTATTCTTTAGAATCCCCAGCTTTGCCTCTTTTCTTTCTTTCTTTAACTTTTAAACTTTCATTTTTTTCAGCTTTATTGAGGTATAGTCGACAAAATTCTACGATACTTAAAGTGTACAATGTGATGGTTTGATATGCGTATACATTATGAAAGGATTCCCCCCTTCGAGTTCCACATTCATCAACACATATTTACCTTTTTTTTTAGCGTCTGTGAGAACATTTATGTTTTGCTCTTTTAGCAAATTCCAGTTGTACAATACAGTGTTATCAGCTATAGTCACCATGTTATACGTTAGATCCTCAGAGATTATTCATCTTATATTACTGAGAGTTTGTACCTTTTTGACTTTTTTTAGATAATGATGTAATTAACATGTACCAAAGTCACTTTGCCATTGTAAATCTAAGGTCTAATAGTAAATTTATCTTTTTCCTATGATTAAAATAGTTGTCTAGAAGTTCTGTGGTTGTTTTATCGTTGGAGAACTATAAGCTCGTGAATAGTATTGCAGCATATTTTTCACAAGGTTTCCTTGGAACAGTTTAAAACCACAGTTTGAGGGCCGGCCCCGTGGCTTAGCGGTTAAGTGCGCGCGCGCTCTGCTGCTGGCGGCCCGGGTTCGGATCCCGGGCGTGCACCAACGCACCGCTTCTCCAGCCACGCTGAGGCCGCGTCCCACATACAGCAACTAGAAGAATGTGCAACTATGACATACAACTATCTACTGGGGCTTTGGGGGGGGGGAGGGAGGAGGATTGGCAATAGATGTTAGCTCAGAGCCGGTCTTCCTCA